AACATTGTGCCGTTTGTGGGTGCGTGCACAGACCTCTCGCAGCCGCTGAGTCTCGTGACCGAGTACTTGCCGTTCGGAAGTCTCGAAGACCAGCGCTCCCAGTTGAGTGCGGCGCAGAAGCAGCAGATTATCAAAGGTGCGGCGTCCGGCTTTCTCAACATGCACGAAGGTCGGTTCATCCATCGCGACATTGCAGCCCGGTACGATCTCTCTTTTCTTGTCTCTCTCAGATGATCTGGTATCTGAGAATCTCACATCTGAACTAGCAACTGCCTCGTGGACGCCAGTCTTAACGCCAAAGTGTGCGACTTTGGCATGTGTCGGCGCGTCGGCGCGGTGGGCGGCAGCTACTTTGCGCACGGGACGGGGCCGCTCAAGTACATGGCGCCCGAGTCGCTGACGCCGCCACACGCTTTTTCGTACCAGTCGGACGTCTACTCGTTCGGCGTCTTGATCTGGGAGACGTACCACGGCGTGAGTCCGTTTGTGGGTCTGAGCGGTGCCGAGGCAGCAGCGCGCGTCTTGTCGGGCGACCGATTGGCACTCTCAGAGGCGATTCCGCTGCATTTGCAAGAGCTCGTGACGCAGTGCTTTCGCGACGACCCGTCCAAGCGGCCGAGCATGGCGCAGGTGCTCCTGGCACTCGACTAAGTTCCGTGTACTAGTATGTTGATTTATGATGCTGTTGGGGTTGAATTTTTTGCGATATGAAAACGTCACTATTCGGGTTACATGTATTGCACCAGTCTTCATGAGCATCGAGGCGCACTTGGGCTGTGCGATGGCCCACTCTATGCAGCGCAGAGTTGTAGGTGAAGGTAGCGGTCCTGCCTGCAATCGAGGTACATTGGCTCGACTTGTGGCATTTCTTTTGGGCCGCATGAGATGCCGGTTTGCACATGGACCAGCACATCGAGGAAACGATTTTTGTGCTCTCTCCTCTCGTGCGCCACGTCATGAATATCATTAGATACAAGTATCGAATTGCAGAGGTATATAGAGGGTTTTTAAAGCCTAATTGGATATTGACGTATCGATGTTGGCAGGTAATCGGATGAAGAGAGTCTGCGCCTGGTCTCGTTACGAAGTTGGTATTTCAGCCAATCAGAGATGGCGGATTGGCGAGACGGTGTGCTGAATTGTAATGTGGCGCAACAGCGACGGCCGGTGGCGACTCGGCGGCCACAAGTCGCGTCGCCGGCTCGTGCTCTTCCTCGCTGCCACCTTCGCCTACCAGCTAGCGCTCTACTATGTCTTTCCAGCGCTCTGCGTCATCTGGTTCTGCGCGTACCCGTTCTGGCTCGCCACGAACATGCTTCGCTGCGGCCATGGCCGGTCGTGGGCGACCTACCGCGACCGCCTGAACCACTACACGAGCCGCACGATCGGCTTCTTGTGCCGCATTGATGTGCACCTGCTCAACGTGTACGAGCGCAAGTCGATCATCGAGACGGACCCGAAGCGGCCAGCAACAGCGAGCGTTTGCCTTGTGCTGAGCCTTATGGTGTACTTTTACGGCTGGAAGGCGTGGGCGGTCAAGTACATCTTGGAACTCATCTTCTTCCTCTGCACGCTCGGGTGGCACCAGATCTACACGCCGGCGACGACCACGACGACGCCTGATCGCACAACGACCGAAGGCTCATACGACGTCACAGTCGGGACCATGGCCGCGGCGCTGGGCATTTGGTTTGGAGCCTACGTCGTCAGCCTCTGGTTCGCCAACATTATCAACACGGTCACCAACGCGTGTACGGCGCCCGTCGTGCGTGATAAGCTCTCGGGCCACGACTTTATGCTGCCAGTGCAAGGTAGTGCCCTCCCGGTGCCCAAGCCTGACGAAGGCAGTGACGCACCGACCGTCCCTGCCCCTCCGATTACGTCGAAGCGCAGCGATTTGTTTTGCATTCCGGTTCCGCTTGAGCCCTTTGTCCAAGGCCATACTGGGCAGGCTCCGGGTGATTCTCAGGTCATGCCGTCACCGCCGGCTGTACCGTCGCCACCAACCATTCCGTCGCCGCCGACGCCGCCAGCTATAATACCACCCGTGGCGCGGCCGCCGAGCCAAAGAAGCGACGGCCGAAAGACTAATGTCGGTCGGCTCACCACTCTCGAGGTGTCACCGCCTCAACTGACGCCATACACTGCGCCAGCACAACGCGACGAAGACGCAGAAGAGCCATCAATTGTCGACGTGTACAAGCCAGTTGACGTCAAGCACGACGCTCACAGTCGGCAGCAAAATGCGAGCTACGATGCATTCGACGCCCAAGACTTTGTGACCACGGATCTGCCTGTCTCGCGGGATTTCCCAGACCCGACGGGCTGGATATCTCCCACAGCTTACAGCACGACCGGCTTCTTCCAGAACGTCGAGTACGGGTCGCTCTCGCCGCAAGCCTCGGGACCGTTCCTGCGCTCCCAAGTCGAGCG